CAGTGTCCGTAGCCATCGGATCATCAATCTTGGGCATTTTCGGCCGTTAGATTTACTGTCAATCGCTCCTCATCTGGCCTCGTTCGTCATGGGCCGCTGCTCTGGTCGCTTTTTCCGGTGTCTCAGATTAAATTGGGCCTAACGGGCCTGCAGCACCATCCCCTTCGTGAAGCCACCGTTTTGTTCCCAAGACCAAACGCCTCCCACACCCTTCGCCTGGCGGCTGTTCCCATGGCCGGCCAACCTAGGTCGCGAACGGTCCCGGAGCGACGGCCATGGCGATCCGGGCGGCTGGACGCGACGTAGCCTTCCCGGCATGGCCACCCACCACGACCTCGAGCAGTGGTGCCTCTCCCTCGTTCTCATTTTCTATCGGCAGCCCCCGCCGCAATCATTATTCAGTTTCTCTACGCAGATTCATGACGGGTGATGTTCTCATCATTTCCGCTGCCTTGGGGTATATACCTCTGTATATATGGTTCATCCTCTGTCAGTCTTCAAGCCTCCGTTCGCAGTTAATCTGCCATTCCTGGAGCTAGCCGCCGGTGAGCCACCCACTAATCTTGTGCATCATTTTTTCACCTCACATCCTCTCATGTCTATGCTCAATTTCCAATTCTGATCTTCTGCAGGGACACGCCATCGTCCTTCTCCGCCTTCCGCAGTTATGGTTTGTGGATTCTGTGTCATCTTGGATTCCATCTAACCATCCTTACCCAGGTGTGTGGTATAATCCTGCTACGGTGCTACCCATAGCCATAAGGTGTTGCAAGGTCACGCTATTCATTCTGCTTGTTGGGGAAGTGAGCCTCCTCTGCTTGATATGTTGTTATGAATTTTCAGACAATTGGGTATGAAATGGTTATAAAAATGGGATATAAAGTATTAGACATATGCAGCAACGAAGACACAAGTGGTAAGGGAGTGGTCCCCTTCTATCAGCTGAGAGTGGTAGGAGTACAAGAATTCTCCAAAGTAATCTGTTGAATTGTTTCTTTCTCACAATCCACCGTTCAACAATATTGTTTATAGTAGTTCTATACTTCTATTGTAGATGTTTGATTGGATCCAACTACTCCTTCCAGTATAGAGTAAACATTATTTAGGAGGCACTATAATGATTTAACTAGAAGTCGCCGTTCTTTTAGTATTATGATTTGGCTCAAATATGTCCGCGAAGGTGGTAAATGGTAGTTCTGTATTTTAGGCAACAATGTTACTCAATTTTCATATAATAAGAAGTTTTAAAAAAAGGAGCCAATTTTTTTATGTTATTCCTTGTGGAGTTAGAGATCCTCCAATAGCAGATTAGAAGAAAAATATAGTTGAAAGACTGAATCAATTACGTTCTCTAATTAGTGTATGCCTCTGTCATGTTTATACTTTCAGATAAGAGAACTTGCTAACTTTCTTTCATTGTTTTTCAGAAGTCCCTTTTACGAAATCTAACAGTGTCCTTCTGATGTTTCCGGGATTCATAACATTACAATGCGGACTTGTTTTACTTGATGACTTGCAGGGATAGTATTTTGCATTCTGCACACACCAGTTTGTTCAATCCAAATAAGCAGATATTACAAACTACTTGCCATGGTTTACAATTTTTACGTGTTGTGGCTTTCTTGATTCAGTTTGGCAAGCGGCATATTTGAATGCCATCCGCATGTCCTAAATTGTTTACTTCTTCATCTCTGTCAAAACTAAAATTGTCAATATAGATCATGTCTGTGAGTTTTTTCTACACGAAATACTCTCTGTAGAGAGTGCTTCTAAGTAAAATAAATGTCATCTATACCATCTATTTACTTTCAGAGGGATGCCAAGGTAGCAACTAAGTAGCAAATTAGTTCCAGCATAAGTACATAACACATTAATGACCCCTAAGTAGTATTTCCCATGTCCTTTCAATACTTGCCTTTCGCTCTTTTATCGTATTTTTCTTCCCCTCTACTGCATATTAATTCAGCAAAGTGCAGTACAATATATTGGATACTACCAACATCTTATATTTATATTACATTTCCCCAGTATATATTAGCATCCAGATTTTTATTTTACTCATGTGATTTATCTCTCAATAATGTGGACCAATTTCAGGTGTTAATTCTGTACTATTACGTAAATAAAGGTAATACATTAGGAATGCCAAGCAATGTGATGCCAAGCAATCTCGCAGCAAATGTGATTAAACTTGACAAGCTGTGAAACGACAAGACTGCTCCCTGAATGTTGTGGCATACACAAGTCATATGTGACATCTTCAAGGAATGCTTAGGTAAGGCACGCAATCTATCTATGGAATGATGTGGCAAAGTGTTGTGCCTGATAAGGTAGAGTTAATCCTATGATAAAATGGTAGATATGTTGTTTGATCAGGTTAATTATTGAAAAATATTTAAGATGCTATGCATATTTTTTACATTTTTGTCATATGAACAAATTCTATTGGTATAAAAAAATGAGAGCAGGTGCAGTTTGTTTTTTTGACGGGTATTACTTCCAATTATCTTATGTACCTTCCATTGATCCTATGTAGATATATATGCTCATTTGGTGTGCTCATATTCTGGGAACTCCACTTCGGTTTTTACTCCTTTTGTTTGAAAAGTGAAGGGAGAAAACTAACTTGACATGGCAGTTACTTAATAATTTAAAAAGAAAGTGGAGCTCCAATGGTGTCGAACAGCCTAAATGATGTGTATGACCAGATGAAGGTCCTCAAGTATGCCCACATGACGTTCTAGGGGTACTGGTCCTTAGTCCAACAACATGGTCATGAGACCAAACCAAGGCGACTTGAAGACGCGTGCCGGCATGATCAAGGCGGTGTCTTTGAAATTAGAAAAGCAACGACACAGCTTCAGTTTGCTCAACAATATACCCAATTGCTGTAAACATGATGGCAAGAGATGTATGCCGGGTGTAGTTCCTTTCATATGGGGTTGTAGAATCTTATCTGTTCTACTAAAATGTATTTTTGTATGGGGCATCAACAATCTTAGAAATACATAGAGGTTGTTTAGATAATATGTTGTTCAATTTTTTTGAGGCATTTGTGTGGCATACTTTTTTTCTAAGTATTTCTACTGGGTTTTCTCAATATTTATATTTTTAGATGTCATGACTCCAGACTTTGTGAGAGTGTAGGAGTCAAATGAGGTCACGATCAATTACAAAACATGCAGTATCCATCAATCGTAATACAAAACTCTTGTAAGAGCAAAAAATTAAGGAGACAAGCACAAACGGCTAGAAGGCACAATACCGTAGAACATTGCAAACATTGAATGTAGGGTGAATAAGGGACACAAAGACCTTGTTGAATCACTTCAACCGAGTGGCAGGGATGAGGTACATGATGTACCTGCGTTCGGATCCTCAAGATGATAAACGCCCTTTTGTCCTACCTTTTAATGTGCATTCTTTCAAAAGTTTACAAATGCTTGGTGGAAACTAATTTAAGGTAGATCTAAACTAGCAGTGACCTTGTATATGGCTTGCTACAAGAGAGCTCCTTGACATAGATCAATATGGCTTGCGTATCACAGGGTTTCTGCTCCGGCGCAAGTTCACTTGCACTCCTTTGAGTTGTCGTGGCCTCAGAGACATATATCTTGAGGAAACTTTTAACATGTTTCCTCTTACCCCTTCTTTTACATGTGAGGTAAGAAGGTAAGAGTTAATCAGACCATTAACTAATGAGATCAACGGCTCAGACCTAATATATACTCTTACATCTCATGTGAAAAGAGGAGGTAAGAGGGAGCATGTTAAAACTGCTCATATCTTGACGTCAAGGCTTGATGATCTTCCATTTTCGACTTATAGACGACTCCAATATAAGAAAAAGGAACATTTAGTTAGTTTTAAGCTCTGAATTATTCATAGTTTTTTCCCTATTCGATAAAAGTCCTTGCCTTGCAAGTTAGGGTACAAGTGACGTAGAAGCTTCCTTCACATTCCCAATCACATACATCGTATCTTACCATATTTCGTATGGATAAGATATGGCAAATTTTAGCATGGTCCCTCTTACCTCCCCTTTTCACATGAGAGGTAAGAGACTAAGAGTACATAACAGATCTGAGCCATTGATTTAATTAAGTAGTGGTCTGATTAAGTCTTGCCTTCTTAC